GTATCTTTTGAAATTTGTTAAAGAGGAAGTAGTGGATGCACATGCTCATAACATACTAGAATTAGATGTGGCGAATGAGGATCACCATCTTTCTAATGATCAGCTCTTTGTTGGTGTAGCCACCCGTAGATTCATTGACTCTTGTGATGAGATTGATGTACACCAACTGACACCTTTTTTCAGCAATTGTCGAAATTATTTCATTGCTGCTATTCAGGAAATAAGGAAGAGTTGTCCACTTGATGACCCTCTACTTAAACTACTTTCATTTCCTGATCCTCACCAATGCAAACAGGTGCAACTTTCAAATATTCTCCAAGTTGCCAAACGATTTCCCAATGTAATAAAGGAAGAAGATATAGAGTAGAGTCTCTAAAAGATGAGATTGAAGATTTCAAACTTCAGACCTTTGACAATGGCTTGTTGCAGAAAGATCCATATGTTTTTGGAGCTCAATAAGCAAATTAGAGGATCCTGTTTCTGGAGACTTACTTTATAGCCAGCTATCCCATCTTGCAAAAGCTTTGCTCATTCTACCTCATGGGAATGCAGACACAGAGCGTGTTTTAGCAAAATGAACTTAGTTAAGACCAAAATGCGGAACTGCATTGGAAAGAAATCAATGAATGCATTACTTACCCTAAACTGTAATACTTCTGTGTGTTGCTATGAGTTTAACCCACCCCTGGATGTTATTCGTCGTGTTAAAAATGCAATGCATTAAAAGTGACATGTTAATATTGTGCTAAATCTTGTTAAATTTGTTTTAAAAAATAAGAGATTTTCTAGTGATAATTTATGGTCATGTTTGGAGATTTTTGAGCCAGAAAAAAGCCAAAATAGAGATTTGGACCTGAAAAAATGTGGCAGCACTGTCAAAGATGAATTATTGCTTTTGTAGTACAGTGTATATGTATACTTGTATGAACTGTGTCTTTATTATTTTATTAGAAGACAAAGCTATTTTTAATTACAGACTAACCGTGCTCGCCGTGCAATAGAAAACTCTTTCGGTATACTAGCAGCCAGATGGCGGATCTTCCACCGGCCAATCATTGCTGATCATACAAAAATTGTCTGATATATTCAAGCAGCTATTGCTTTACATAATTTCTTATGGAGCACTGAATCATCTTATTGCCCACCAGGCTTCACTGATGGTGAGATGGTTCAGGAAACTTTATTAGTGGCTCGTGGAGGAATGATGAAGACCCTTGTGCTGGAATGCACAATCTAACTTATATTGGCAGCAACAGGTTACTACAATTTATGTGCTTTTATTATCATTAAATCATTCATTGTAATTATTTTATTACTTTTTTCCTAGATATTCTAAAACAGCATCAGATGTGAGGGATGACTACAAAAGTTGCTTTAACAGTCCAGAGGGTGAAGTTAATTGGCAGATGAGCCACGTAAACAGAACAGATTAATTTTAATAATATTATAGTGAAATAAAATGCACGCATTGTCATTATATTGTTATAATACTGATATATAATGTATATGTGTATATATATATATATATATATACATCCGTAGTGTTTTTATCTCTATGTTGTCATATTATAAGCTTGAAGGTTCCTAATGGTGAAACTTTGGGTAAGGATTAGATGGGAACTCTATATTGACAAGCAACTGTTCTATCTGAAGTTTGGCAATTGCTTTCTGTTGGTCATTGAATTTACGTAGTGTAGCAGCAACATGTTGACCAAAATATCCTTCGTCATCAGTTAGCTCCTTTGCTGTCCTTCTCTTCTGAATCTCTTTCAATTCAGTTATCATTAGTTCCTCCACTTCATCTCTTTTCTAACCACTATTTTTCCTTTTAGTGGGTAATTTAATGGGTGTCGTCTTGTCACTACTAACTGCCCTCACACCTCATTCACTATTATTCAATGAAAGTTATCACAAACACATATTTTATACTTATCATCAGTATCTGTAAAATTGTAATCATCATCTACTTGATCAGGTAACTCCAAATTATTAATGGGCGTAGTTGAACGACTTGACACTGCCAGAGTTGGCAAGTTGGAAACAGTGCTGTAGCAAGCATAAAACTGATTGTAATAATAGAAGGAATATAGCTATTGCTTACTCTCTGTGTTTAACAGTATCAGTTCCACCAGCTTTTCATCCTCCATTTTCTTTTCCACGTCACCATGTGCTTCAGGCAAATTGATTGGTCAGACGTTACATAATTGATGTAAGAATAGAAAAGAATTCTATTCCTACGTATTTTACGCAAACACCAACGCAAGATGTTCACAAATTACATACTTTACCCAACAATTCGGTACGGAGTTACTAGCGTAAATTCTAAACCAGCCTTTTGGCATAGCAGCTCTGCAACAACAGAGGCTGCTAATTTTGAGGCAAATCAGGAGCCTACATAGGCAAATTGTAAGGTGTTACGAATACTCTAAAATAATAATCTCTTTTCCATTTTAGTACATGAACTTATCTAGAACCCCAAGAGGACATGGCAGGGGCAGAAGGGGTGGAGGTCCAAGAGGAAATGTGACTAAAAAATATAATTTTTATTAAATAGGCCTTTTTAATTACATATAAATATATTATTACTAACAACAATAAAGTGAATTATTTTGCAGCGCAAAAAAAAAATTGAAATTACAATAGTATAATGTTCAAATGATAAATTGTTCAGCAAGGCAAAATGCTTTAATACTTGAGATTCCATCTTCCTACAATAATATATATATATATATATACTATATATCATTTATAATTACAAGTAAATACACTACTTACTGTGGCCATAATAAATAAATGACTTAATTACCAAACAATTATACATGCAACCTTGAATAATAACCTATAACAAAATACATACATGTAAGACAATTTGTACACTCCCAATATTCTATCTTACTACATATTTCATTGCTAAGGTTATGATAATGTGAAACCAATGCTGCTAAAAACTGGTGCCTCCTACAGTGTGATAAACTACTGATCAAGGAGCTACAACAAAACACTAAGTTACATATAATAAAGAAATTGATTTAGTTACAACAACCTAAATCCAGAATAGCCTTTAATTATTATTGCACATTCCAATATCAAGCAAAACTATTGCTAAATCATCAAATCATATCCAGCTGTAACTACCTGTAAAGCAATAGGAATAGAAACATATCAAAGGCAAGCAATGTAAACTTACAGGCTAATAATAACAATAGCACAAACAGTAATGGTGAACAAACTTTATTACCAATCACATCAACATTTGTATTCCTTGTAACTCCCATTATACATACCATAAATCAAACTTTGAAAGGAATAAATTGCATGCATGATAATCATTAAACACTACAAGCACCAATAATCCACTACATGTACAATACACTGTGATAAACATGTACATGTATATGCATGTTATACGTTATGTTTGTCACAAACATACTTTTGAGTCTCATTCCAAGTCAGACCTCACTCTTTAACACCACATTGTAGTCCTTGTGCAAAATAAGTACCTGTATGAAGTATGAATGTGTCAATAATAATAATGATAATGTTAGCATCTACAATGTTTCTGATTGGATCATACATGTATGTGCATGCATGCATTTTAGACATATTGCTTACTAATGCTATTCTAAGTTCAGATACTTTCATGACCTGATTAATATACAATAACATTGTGTCCATGAAGAATTTTTAAAGTGTGAACAATTTTTTTTGTTAATGAGAACATGCACATGTTA